CCCAGATGATATGAGACCCAGAACGAGGCAGACACAGGGGAAATACAAAAGAACAGTGTTTATTATTTACAGTGAGTTAAATGAACATCCACAGGCTGCTTCTCTGAGGCTCCTGGAAAGAGGGACGACAGGTTAATGGTTGTCCAACGGGGGAGGCCAAAGTGGTCTATTTAATGAGTGTCTGTCCTTACAGTCCAACCCGAAGGGGAGAGCTGGTCCTTCAGTCCAAGGAGAGCGAGCAGCAAAGGGAAATCCAACAAGGGTCCAAAAGGGGAACGAGGAAGGCTGGCACTGGAGGCAAAGAGGCACGAGGAATACCTGAGAGGCCAAGGGATCCAAATCAGGTCACGAGGGAATCCAAAGAGCACGAGGAACCAGGAAACATAAGAGGTGATATGCTCCAGCGTTGAGTCACACCGGACTGCAGCCTTAAGTAGATGGAGAGGCTCATCAGGCTGATGGCCGCCAGGTGTTGGTAATCAGCGGCCATCAGCAAGGCAGGCTGCAGGCAGTGGGACCCTTACAGTACCCCCCCCTCAAGAATCGCCACCTGGCGACCTGAGGCGCTTCTCGGGGTGGTCTCTGTAGAACTTAGAAATTAAACTGGGATCAAGGATAAAGGACCTGGGGATCCATGACCTCTCCTCAGGACCGTACCCCTCCCAATCGACCAGGTACTGGAAACCCCTACCCCTGCGTCTCACGTCCAAAATGGAACGGACGGAGAATGCAGGGTGGTTGTCGATCAGGCGAGGCGGCGGAGGGAGGTCAGATGGAGGACACAGGGGACTGAGGGAGACAGGTTTCACCTGCGAAACGTGGAACGTAGGATGGATGCGCATGGCCCTGGGGAGCTGGAGGCAGACCGCAGAGGGGTTGATGATACGGGTGATGGGGAAAGGACCAATGAAGCGGGGGGCCAGTTTGCGAGGGGTGTCCCGCAGCTTAATGTCCTTGGTGGACAGCCAAACTTGCTGGCCGACCTGGTAGGCGGGCGTCTCTGAACGATGGCGGTCAGCAAACCGTTTTGCCTGGGCTGCGGTCCTAAGGAGAGCTGCTTTGGCCTGGCGCCAGATGCGACGGCAACGCCTGAAGTGGTGCTGGACGGATGGGACCGAACAGTCTGTTTCTGAGTCAGGGAACAAAGGAGGATGGTAGCCTAAGGAGGCTTCAAAGGGGGACATGCCGGTGGCAGAGGAGCGGAGGGAGTTATGTGCATACTCCACCCAAACCAAGTGCTGGCTCCAGGACGAAGGGTTAGACTCGACCAGGCAACGCAGTGTGGACTCCAGCTCCTGATTGCAGCGCTCGGCTTGTCCGTTAGCCTGGGGATGGTAACCAGAGGTGAGGCTAACGGACGCCCCGAGCGACTTGCAAAAGGAGTGCCAGACCTGGGAGATGAACTGCGGGCCTCGGTCAGAGACAATGTCCGACGGGATCCCATGGAGCCTAAACACATGGAGGGTGAGTAAATGGGCAGTCTCAAGGGCAGAGGGGAGCTTAGGGAGGGGAACAAAATGAGCGGCCTTAGAGAAGCGGTCAACCACCGTGAGGATGGGGGTGTTGCCGTCAGATGGTGGAAGGCCGGTAACAAAATCGAGGGCAATGTGGGACCAAGGGCGACTAGGGGTCGGGAGGGGGAGCAAAGGGCCAGCCGGGGGTTGAGTACCGGACTTGTTTCTGGCACAGACAGGGCAGGCAGAAACAAAGTCCTTGATGTCTGAGTTCATGGAGGGCCACCAGAAATGGGTCTTGGTGAGGGAGAGCATGCGGTTGACTCCGGGGTGACAGGAAAGCTTATTAGAGTGAAGCCATTGGAGCACCTGGGACCGCACGCTGGAGGGGACGAAGAGGGTGCCGGGGGGACCACCACCAGGATCTGGTTCGGAGAGGAGGGCCTGTTGAACGGTGGCGGTGATGGGCCAAGAAAGAGAACCAACAATGCAGGATGAAGGAATAATTGAGTCAGAAGCCTCGGGCGAGTCAGGTGGGGCAAACTGCCTGGACAGGGTGTCAGGTTTAATGTTTTTGGAGCCCGGGCGGAAGGTCAAAACAAAATTGAATCGATTAAAGAAAAGCGACCAACGGGCCTGACGGGGGGGTCAGACGCTTGGCGTTCCGGAGATAGATTAAGTTTTTATGATCTGTCCAGATCAAAAAAGGTGTCTCAGTGCCTTCCAGCCAGTGCCGCCATTCCTCGAGTGCGAGTTTGACCGCCAAAAGCTCGCGGTTGCCCACATCGTAATTTCGTTCTGCTTGAGAAAGACGACGGGAGAAGAAGGCGCAGGGATGGACCTTGTTGTCCAGAGGAGACCGTTGGGAGAGGACCGCCCCAACCCCAGTGTCAGAGGCGTCCACCTCCAAGATGAACTGGTGCGCGGGGTCAGGATGGCAGAGGATGGGCGCCGAGGAAAAGAGGGACTTGAGTTTAGAAAAGGCAGCTTCAGCCTCCGGGGTCCAGTGAAAGGCTCGGATGGTTGAGGTGAGCTGAGACAGGGGGGCGGCGACACGACTGTAATTTTTAATAAAGCGCCCATAGAAGTTCGCAAACCCCAGGAAGCGTTGTAACTGCTTCCTGGACTCAGGGGTCGGCCAGTCGACTACCGCCCTGGTCTTCTCAGGGTCGGTTCGGCAACGACCACCCTCGAAAATAAAACCTAGAAATGAGACAGTGGAGGTGTTAAACTCACACTTCTCAGCTTTAACGAATAATTGGTTCTCCAACAGCCGCTGAAGAACCATGCGAACGTGGGCCGTGTGTTGAGCGGGGTCGCGGGAATAAATAAGAATATCATCCAAATAAACAAACACAAAATTACCAATAAAGTCGCGCAGGACGTCTTTAACGAGCGCCTGAAAAATAGCGGGGGCATTGGTTAACCCAAAGGGCATAACTAAATATTCGAAGTGGCCCAGAGGAGTGCGAAAAGCGGTCTTCCACTCGTCGCCCTCTTTAATACGGACGAGGTGGTACGCGTTTCGGAGATCAAGTTTAGAAAAACAGGAAGCAGACTGCAACTGCTCCTGAAGTGAATCAATAAGAGGAAGAGGATATTTATTTTTAATAGTTATGTTATTCAAACCGCGATAATCTATACATGGCCGGAGTGATTTATCTTTTTTAGAAACAAAGAAAAAACCCGCTCCCACAGGGGAGGTCGAGGGTCTAATGATGCCTGAGGCAAGAGATTCATTAATATAGTTAGACATAGACTCCCTCTCAGGACCAGAAAGGTTGTAGAGTCTACTTGACGGCAAGGGGGCGCCAGGTAATAAGTCAATTGCGCAGTCATAGGGACGGTGAGGAGGAAGTGACAAGGCGCATTGTTTACTGAAGACGGCCGCCAGGTCGCGGTATTCTGCAGGAACCGAGGTAAGATCGATCTCCTCTAGAGGAGGCGTGTCTCGAGGGGACGCTTTAACAGCGGAGCGCAGACAATTGCTGAGGCACTTGTCGCTCCATTTGTCAATACAGCCACGCTCCCAGTTAATAACTGGGTTATGGTTACGAAGCCAAGGGAAACCTAGAATTACTTGAGGCGTACGAGAATTGAAAATAAAGAAATCAGTCATCTCATGATGATTTCCCGATATAATGACATGTAACTCTGTGGTCTTTAAATTAATACGGGTCAACGTGTCTCCGGTTAAGCCGGCGACAGAAATTGATGGAATTTCGCGAGTCGGAAGAGAACATTCTTTAACTAAATCTGAGCTAATCAAATTTTGTTCAGCACCTGAATCGATAAGAGCTGAGAAAGAAAAGCGACGGTCTTGTGTCTGAATGACCATGGGAAGTAACAATTTAAATGGGGAGGTTAACGCAGACGTTCCCACCAGTAACTCCTGCTTTACTGGTGGAAGTTCTCGTTTCCCCGAAACGGACAGTGGGGCAGAAAGTGACCGGAATTACCACAATAAATGCAGAGACGGGCAGATACACGCCGCTGTCTCTCTGCAAGAGTCAGCCGTGCGCGCCCCACCTGCATAGGCTCGGGGGAGCGATCCCGTGAGGGAAAAGAAGATGATTGGCTGTGACCAGGAAGCATGGAAGACTGGGAGTTGTAGTTCACAGGGGGCTGTCTCGAAGAAAAAGACTCGTTGCGAGGGGTCGTAAACCCGGAAGTGGAAGAATTATGGGAAACGT